AACAAGATTGTTAGCTAGCCTATGGCCCTCAAATATCCTCTCCTATTGATTGTTATCCGCAATTGCCTACATATTTTAGTCGATCTCTAGTTTAACTGTTTGATACTTTCTTTGGTTATTAATTAATTGCCTACTCATTTTGAGAAAAATCCCTTGAATAGATAATTTGTTTGAGTTGAATCAGTCAAAAGTTAATCATAAGTCTCTGTGGGAACGATACTCTACTCACTACTTTATTACTTGACGACCACGTATACTTATATGTGTGTTTGGTCGCAACGGGTTTTTGGCGCCGTTGCCGGGGACTTGAAAATTAGCTACTTGACTGAGTTAAGCTTTTATTAGTTATTTGTTCAAGTTTTAATTTTCAGTTTGCCTTGTTTGTGTTAACGCATGCACTTCTCTTGAATGCGGAGTAGTAGAAGCGCAAACAACCTCCTTTCTCTTGATCCTAAAATTGAACGAACACTTCACAGAGTGAGGAGGGAAGTCGAATCTAGAACTAGAATAGAAAGAGAGTTGGACATTGTAGTTCAACCACATCCAATAGAGATGTTAGGTAATGAAGAGCGTCCGGTGATAAAAGCTGCAAGGCCCAATCTTGCTAATATGACTCAGGCTATTGTGAACCCTGATATCACGGGTCACTTTGAACTCAAACAGTACTTGGTGCAGCTGATTCAGTCCATAGGGCAATATGTGGATCTATCTCATGAAGACCCACATCGACACATTCAGAACTTCCTGAAAATTACGGATACTTACAATTATCCTAATGTTTCCAAGCACTATGTCAGGCTGACACTTTTCCCCTTTTCACTGCTTGGGAAAGCCAAAGAATAGTTGCAAAAGGAGCTCGCGAACTCGATCCACACTTGGGATGATTTAGCAAGAAAGTTCTTAATTAAGTTTTTTCCCACTAAAAAGACAAAGTCATTGAGGAGCCAGATTCTAGGGTTCCAACAACGGTATGGAGAGACACTTAATCAAGCTTGGGAAAGATACGAGGAGCTACTCAGAGACAACCCAAATCACTGTCAGACTGATGCAGTGTTGGGGCACACTTTTATTGATGGGTTAGATGAGACATCAAAGATGAATCTTGATTCAGCTTGTGGGGTTAGTTGCATGGCGAGACCGTATTATGAAATCAAGCTCCTGCTAAACAACTTCTAATGATCATAATTGGCAAGGAGATGGGGAATCACAAAGAGCACATAAACAGAAAGCAACCAGTGTAATTGAGCTTGATGACTTCTCAGCCATGAGAGCAGATATAGCAAAATTGGCAAATCTGATAAATAGAATGACAATGCACCAAACACAACAGATGCAATATGTACAACAGATGTCTACTTACTGCGAATTATGTGGTGACAGTCACACGAGTGACATGTGCCCTAAGAATCCCGAATCTATCTACTATGTGGGGCAACAGAGCAGAGGTCCGATAAATTAGCATGCACAATATGGGAACACTTACAATTCAAATTGAAAGAATCATCCTAACTTCTCCAGGGCTCAAAATCAGCCGACTCAGAATCATGATAGAGCCCAAAGAAAATTTTAATCAACCTCAGAAGCCACCCCAACAAGTAGAGGAGAGCACGAATAACTTGTTGAACAAGTTGTTGCTTGACAATCAACAATTCAGGACCGATTTCAGAAATCTTGAGAGGCAAGTTGGGCAGTTAGTATCAAATCAAAATACCAGGCCTGCGGGCGCTCTTTCCAGTGATACAGAGAAGAACCCTCAAGTTAATGCAGTCACACTCAGAAACGGGATGGAATTGGAAGAAACGCCAAAGAAAAAAAGAGATAAGCCTACACCTGAGGGGGAGTTGATTCCTAAGGAAATACCAGAGCCAAAGAAATATAATGCAAGTTTAGAGCCAGTGAGTGCTGCAAGACCACCACCACCTTTCCCCAAAAGGTTATAGAAGAAGAATGATAATCGCATGTTTAACAAATTTATCTCTATATTGAGCCAAGTTCAATTAAATATTCCATTGGTGGATGTACTCCGTGAAATTCCAAAATATGCTAAGTATATCAAAGATATAGTGGCTCACAAGAGGAGATTGACTGAATTCGAGACAGTCGCACTTACTGAGGAGTGCACTTCGAGGGTCCAAAACAAGCTTCCTCAAAAGCTTAAGGACCCTGGCAGCTTTACCATCCCTGTATGAATTGGTAATATTGACATGGGCCATGCTCTTTGTGATATGGGGCAGGCATAAATCTAATGCACTTGTCCTTGTTCAAGCAAGTGGATCTGAGAGCTCCAAGACCAACCACTGTGATGTTGCAACTAGCGGATAGATCCATAGCCTACCCTGAAGGAGTGATTGAAGATGTGTTGCTGCAAATTGAAATATTTATCTTGCCAGTTGACTTCATTATACTAGATTATAAGGCTGATGAAAATGTTCCAATCATATTGGGACGACCTCTCTTGGCTACAGGTAATGCAATTATTAAAGTGAGAGAGGTAAAAATGATTATGAAGGTGGAAAATGAGGAAGCAGTTTTTAATGTCTACAAGGCGATCCAACTTTCTCGCCATTATGAGGAGCTCTCTATGATATCTGTTGTGGAGGTGGATGAGCAACTTACTGACATGGTTGAAAGATTTGTAGAAATTTTCATGGATGATTTTTCTGTGTTTGGGTGTTCTTTTGATAATTGTTTAATGAACCTTGATTAAGTGCTTGCTAGGTATGAAGAGGCAACCTTGGTACTAAACTGGGAAAAGTATCATTTCATGGTACGAGAAGGTTTAGTTTTGGGGCACAATGTGGACAAGGCAAAGGTGAAGGCGATTGAAAAATTTCCCCCACCAACATCCGTTAAGGGAATTTCTAGTTTCTTGGGCCATGCATGTTTTTATCGTTGTTTCATTAAAGATTTTTCAAAAATTTCTTCTCCTATGTGCAGGCTTCTTGAGAAAGATATCCCTTTCAAGTTTGATGATGCCTGTCTGAAAGCATTTGAGGAGCTGAAGGGAAGATTGGTGACTGCACCAATTATCATTGCCCCGGATTGGGCGCAGCCATTTGAGTTGATGTGCGATGCGAGTGACTTCGCAATCAGACCTATTTTGGGGCAAAAGAGGGAGAAAATTTTTCATTCCATTTACTACACAAGCAAAACTCTGAATCCAGCCCAGATGAACTACATTGTTACTGAAAAAGAGTTGCTTGCAGTGGTGTGGGCGTTTGACAAGTTTAGATCTTATCTAATGGGAATCAAAGTTATCATCTACACCGATCATTCAGCTATCAGGTATTTGCTTGAAAAGAAAGATGCCAAGTCGAGGTTGATTCGTTAGGTCCTCCTTTTGCAAGAATTTGACTTGGAGATCCGAGATCGAAAAGGAATAGAGAATCAAGCGACTGATCACTTGTCCAGATTAGAAAATCGGAACCATGTGGCTGAGGGAGGTTAAATTAAGGAAATATTTTTGGATAAGCAGTTATTGGCAATCACATCGAGTGAAGCCTCATGGTATGCAGACTACGTGAATTTTATTACGAGTGGGGTGATGCCACCTGATAATAGAAGAATATTTCTACATGATGTGAGGATCTACTTGTGAGATAAGTCATTCCTATATAAGCGGTGTGCAGATCAGTTAGTACGAAAGTGTGTCCCTGAGGAGGAGATGAATGCGATATTGCATGACTGTTATGCTTCTCCATATAAAAGTCACATGATGGGGACATAACTGCCCAAAAGGTATTGTAATTGGGTTTATATTGGCCAAAATTGTTTAAGGATGCACACGCCTTTGTTAAAAAGTGTGACAGGTGCCAAAGAACCGGAACAATCACGAAGAAGCACGAGATGTCTTTGCAAAGTATTCTGGCAGTAAAGCTCTTTGATGTTTGGGGAATTGATTTTATGGAACCGTTCTCATACTCTAATGGTCACAGGTACATCTTGGTGGAAGTCGACTATGTGTCTAAGTGGGTAGAGGCCATTGCTCTTCCTACTAATGACGCAAAGGTAGTGGTAAACTTTATAAATAAGCACATCTTCACATGCTTTGGGACACCAAGGATGCTGATAAGTGACAGAGGAACTCACTTCTGGAATAAATTGTTGAATAATGTTCTAGCAAAGTATTAAGTTAAGCACAAGGTTATCACTGCCTATCACCCCAAACGAGTGGTCAAGTGGAAGTGTCAAACAAAGAGGTGAAGCGGATTCTGGAGAAAACGGTAAGTGAAAATAGGAAGGACTGGGCCAGAAAGCTTGACGACGCATTATGGGCGTATCGAAATGCATACAAGACCCCCATTGGAACATCTCCGTATAAGTTGGTTTATAGGAAGGCGTGCCACTTACCCGTCGAGCTTGAACACAAAGCCTATTGGGCTATTAAAAAGCTAAATATGGATATGGATTTAGCCGGAGAGAAGAGGCTGCTACAGCTCAATGAGCTTGATGAGTTTCGATTGCACACGTACGAAAATGCCAAATTGTATAAAGAAAAGACCAAGAGGTGGCATGATAAGCACATCCAACATCGCAAGTTTGAGCAAGGTCAAGAAGTTCTCTTATTTAATTCGAGATTGAAGCTTTTCCCCAGAAAGTTTAAATCTCGATGGGCGGGTCCTTTTGAAGTGGTTAGTGTGAAGCCTCATGGAGCAGTGGAATTGCAAGATACAAGTTCAGGTGGTACATTCTTAGTAAGTGAGAATATAGTAAAATATTATTGGGGTGGTGACATTGCATGTCACAAGACTTCGATGGACTTGGCCGACGCTTGAAAATCATGTTGCATCGTGCCGCGACTTTAAATCAGGCGCTTCTTGGGAGGTAACACAAGCATTTCCTTTTGTTTTTCGTAGTTTACTAATTTTTCCCATTCGTTTTGTATTCTTGAATTTTTTAAGTAGTTCCTTAATTTTTATTTTATAGGAGTTAACTCTTGTATATGTTTATTTAAACAAAAAACGTTCCAAAATATGGGAAAATAGGGTGGATGCAAAACATCCCCCTTAGCGCCTAAAAATTCGAGACAAACTGCACAAGGCAATAACTACTGGCCATCACGACCAAGGTCACCTCCCCTCAAGAATTTGGAAACCAATTTGGACGCGTCGCATACCCTTCAGCGCACAACAGGTAAGTGATATATTTTTACTACACTTAACGCCTAATAACCCCAATATCATCTATCCCCTCTCAACTTAAACACACTTCCTCGCACACCTCATCTCACTGTTGCTGCTCGAATTGATCAAACACTCAGGTAATGTCTTCCTCTTCTTCTCTCTCTCAATACTCATCTCTTCTCTATCTCGCTGGTAGCAGCAGCATCCCCACCCCCAGTCCCCTAGGTTAGGTTTAATTAGATTGATATTTCCCCATTAAACTAAAAGGGGAACTGGGAAAATAATTGAGGCTTGGTGGTGTCATTTCTGTTGGTTGTGATATTTGTGAGATGATAAACTACAATTCCCTTCATCTCGTTATTTTTGGGAGCGTATTCAAATTGCCCAACTGTTAGAAAACACTAGGCAAAACTGTTGCATGCCACATGTTCAACTAAATGCATGTGAGGTAAATTTAGGCGCCAGCGAAGTCTGAGTAACCGAGTATCACTAGTATATGCTTGTGAATAAGTGTGGGGTCGTTTGAGAGATTGTGTACAACCGTCTTAGTGTAAGAGATATGGGTGCTCACCACTCTTTCACCTTTCATTTTGAGGCATATGATGGTCGTTAGACTTTCGAGCGACCATGTTTCGGGCTGAATTAAATGCAATTAAAGTGCTTAACTATTGTAATATAATGTACATGGCTCTTGCAGTTGCATTATGTGTATTCTATGCATAGTGGTATATTTTGGGACTAAGTGTTGGATTGCGAGTCATATAGCTGAGTAAGTTGTTGCGGTTCATATGAGCACCACTCGAATCAATCTCTTGTTGTGCATATTGATGTCTATAAGTGCATTGCTCACTTTTGTATTTGAATGAAGTACCAGTTAATTCATCCCTGCTGAAAGCCGTGGGCTATGTTTGAATGAAGTACTGAATGGCATAAGCATACGAATGTTTGGTAATGCACACTTTTGCACAGATGATTCACATCTGAAACTTTACTATTTTGAGAACTAATTGTTGACCCCTTTGTTATTCAGGTACATAGGTTCACAATGGCGGCAACAAGAAAAACGTCCAAGCAACAAAAAAGAGATAATGACAAGCAACCGCCCAAAAGCCTACCGGAAAGGCAACAGGTGCTCCAAACCCACAGAACAAAAGAAAGCAAAGGCACTGCCGACTAGGCAGTTAATTGATGAATGGGAGCAAGAAGAAGAGGAACCATTAGTGAGGAGGACTGTAAAAAGGGGTACCACAAATACATTAGCAAATCCGCCAAGCAAGGGGATAGAGTTCAGAGAACCGATGCCGCACCAGACCAAATCCACCTAGCAGAGTGATCTGAAAGATAAAGGGAAGCAGAAGGCTACCTCAAAATTTGAGTCCGAGTCTAATTCGGACTATAAGCTCACAAATGTCAACATGAGCGATGAAGATGAGGGTGAACCAATTGACCGAGCTGCTTGGGAGAAGAATTTTGTTAGTGAAAAAGCATTCCGAGCTTATGAGAAGATACTGGATTCAAAGAAAAATATTCCAGAAAAGCCAATCAACATTGGATCACAGAAAAATTATCCAGATCCTCTAAGATCAATTCGAGAGGTGCAATAATGGGGACCTATCTCGAAGGGCCACGGAAAGGCAAACCTTACTATTCTTAGAGAGCTTTACGCTAATTGGCATCACTCACTGTGAAGCATTGTGAGAGTATGAGGAGTGGATATCAATGTCTCAGCTGAAGCTCTGAACAAGTTCTTAGGGGTGCCACACACACCAACGGACATGTATGACTCTATACGCAAAGAACCTGATTACTCACATATTCATTCCGTCATATGCCCTACTAAGAAATATGCAAATTAGAAGCATGGGAGTGTAGAGTACCATTCTCTGGCCAAAGAATTCATGAGCGCATTTGCACGTATGGTTCTAAATTTCATATGCAACCGCTTGATGCCGTACCAGCACAAAACTAATGTCCCTCAATACCGAGCAATGTGTTGTATCTTTATTGGAGGGGATCCCGCTCAACTTGGGAGCCATTATGAACGACCGGATGCAGCGCACTAGGATGAACTACAAGTGGAGGTTGTTCTTTGCGAATACCTTATCGGCTTACTTGACGGAGATGGGAGTGTTATGGGACAAGGAGAATGATGACATCGAGGCTAAAGCTCCCGGACCATATGATGTTACTCATATACTAGAGCCGAACAAGGAGAGGGCCTCTAAGTTCACTATTTAATAGTTGTTTGAGCATATGGGAGTTGATATGCAAGAGAACATGGCTGAGTTAATCGAGACTCGTGCAACGTTGAATGCTACTAGAGGTGAGTTGATTCAGACTCGGAAAGATCTAAGTCGAGCCCAAGCTGATCAAGCTACGATGATGAGGGAGGTATCACTACTCCTCTGTGCTTTGGTCCAACATACAGATATAGATATCTCACAGTTGCTTGCACCATCCATTGTTGGACCATCCACGTCTGATCCTCCTATAGTCCCGGGGTCTCCATCCATCATCCCACAGAGATCGCCGTACCGTATGCTACAGACTCAGCTCCATCTAGTGATGATAGGACTGTGACCAAGCCCCCTATTCGTGAGTATGATATTGTTATGCCAGAGGGGGCCATGATAGATGTCGTGGATGCTTAGAGTACCCATTCGGTCATTGCCACTATCTTTGATGCTCCTCCACAGACCACGGAGGAGCCCTCCACATAGACTTGAGGGAGTTTCTTCTCACCCTACTCTACTTAATTTGTATGCATTGGGGACAACGCACGGTTCTAATTGTGGGGATGGGGGTTATTCATNATATATATAGAAGACTTTTCCCTACTATGGACTACCTGGACAGTTCTCTCGAGGGATTAAGGTCTTTGGAAAAAGACAAAAAGATTTTCATTTGATTCTAGGAAGTAGTGTTAGTATTAAAAAATTGACAGAAAAATAAATAAAAACACAAAAATATTTTATTTGCTTTGAGTAGTTAGTTTGAAGTTTAATCTAGTAGGCAATAATCCCCCTTGGTTTTTCATTAGCCATCGGTTCTTTTTTAAGGGATAAATTTTTGAACCGGGTATAATTTTTTATTTATTTGTAGAGTAGTGTAGGATATAAAGACTCGGACTAAATTCAGCACATTCAGTGACTTGTTTGATACCAACAGAGTTAGACCTAAGCATGTGGATTATAACTGTCCCCGTGAGTTTTGAGAACTATTTTTGCTTTGAAAAGTAGAATAGTTTTTGTGACGCTTAGGCTCATTTTCTTGACTCCTCTACTAACTGTTGTGCCTTGTACATTAAATTTGTGGCTTAACCCCTTACTTGCTTTGATTGAAAGTTGGAATATAGTCCTCTTAATTGAATCATGTACCATTGCCTGGTTCTTGCTAGTGGAATGTAAATTGAGGTAGTGTTTAAAGAAAGAGGGAATGTTTTGGGGGTGATGTTGTTGTGAAATTGAAATGGGTTTAAAGAAAGTTGCGTTGAAGTGATTACTTGACATGTTAAAGTGCTTAGGAGGGTTAACCAATATTTCCTATATCTATCCTACCCGTTCTATCACGACCCCAAATTTCCTCCGTAGGATGTTGTGATGGTACCTAGACTCTAAGACTAGGTAAACCTATCAATTATGCGGAATAACAGAATCTAAAACTGAAACTCAAATATCAACATATAAAATAAATAAAAACTTTAATTCAAAATAGTTATAACTCTCAAAACCCGGTAGAAATAAGTCACAAGCTTCTAAGATAAATACTAAGTGTCTCTATACATCAGAGTCTAAAGAAAAGAAGAAAAATAACATAATAAGGATAGAGGGGGGGCTCCGAGGTGTGCGGACGCTAGCAGATATACCTTGAAGTCTTCACGTACAGACTAGCTCACTGATACCTGGTCTGGTAGGAAGTACCTAAATCTGCACAAAACGATGTGTAGAAGCGTAGTATGCGTACACCACAGCGGTACCCAGTAAGTGCCAAGCCTAACCTCAGTAGAGTAGTGACGAGGTCAGGTCAGGGCCCTACAAGAAATAATAAAAGACATGGTGAAAAGTTTAACAATACAATAATAAAAATGGAAATGGAAGTGAATCATGTAAGGAGTATGTCGCAATTTAACTGTATAGAATAAGAGAAAATAATACATTACGGAAGAAAAACGGGAATTAACATATTTAGGGGGGAAACAAAACAATCAAGACAATTACACCAATAGGAATATATCAACAAGAGCACTTCCGAGGTACCGTCTCGTAGTCCCAAATCATAAATAAATTCACAATATTTCTTTTTTTTATATCACCGCGGGAGCCTTCAAATTTAGTTTAAACGAAATCATTTTTTCTGAAATAGCATCCCGCGTTTTATCCCACCTTATCACACCGCATGGCTTCTAGTAGTTCTCCTACTAGCCACATGTATCAAGCCCACTTTATCTCACCGCATGCATTTCAACACCCAGACCTTATACCACCGCATGCGTATCAATATCACAATATATCACAATTTGCACCTCAAATGCCCAAATATTTCAACTTGCCAAATAAATCAACAACATTATTTTCTACAATAAGGAGCTCACGACTCAATCGCAATGTATAGCAAAAATCTCAACAAAATATTCGGGAGTGAATAACTCAACAAAAATAATATTTTACAATTTAACACTTTACCTCAATACCAAATTTCAATGTCAGATACTTCATATTTTAATAATTCAATTAAGAAATTCAACTTTCAATATTGAGCACACAATAAAATGAACAAAGCTTCAACTAAACAGGTAAAACAAATAGCAGGAAAAAGGTAAGGCAAATTTACAATATAAAAATAGACCAATGATGATGAGTATAACACGATAAAATAATTTAATTAATATGTGATAGAGATATACACAATTTAAAGATATAATCATCCACATTAAATCCGTGTACACATTTATCACCTCGCGTACACGGCTTTCAACATATCACAATTATCATATCAATATTAATCCTAAGAGAAATTTTTCCCACACAATGTTAGACAAGTCACTTACCTCGACTTGCATTAATTCAATCCACTAGTAGGATTTTTTCTCGATTATCCAATTCTGAATAACTCGAATCTAGCCAAAACAATTAATGCGATACAGTCAATACAAGTTATAGGAATAAATTTCATATGAAAATACTAATTCTTCCAACAAATATCCAAAATTCACTCAAAAATCGCCAGTGGGGCCCACATCTCGGAACCCGATAAAAGTTAGAAAATATGAACGCCCATTCAACCACGAGTCCAAACATACCAAAATTACTAAATTCCGATAACAATTCGTCCCTTAAATCTTCAAATTTAACCAAGAGGGTTTTCAAAATTTTCCAACTTAAATCACCAATTAAATGCTAAATTTAGCAATAGATTTGGGTAATTTGACCAAAATTGAGTTAAGAACACTTATCCTATTATTTTACTTGAAAATCTCCCGAAAATCGCCTATCCTTGAGCTCCAAATCGTTAAAAATGGACATCCCATTTTCAGAACTTAAACTCTCTGCCCAGTCATTTCTTCTATGCGATCGCTGACCAAGTCCCGCGATCGCGAAGCATAATTTTTCACTGCCCGAAATAACCCTATACGAACGCATCACTACACCTACGAACGCGAACCACTGCCTCCTCAGATCTACGCGGTCGCGTCGCGAAGAACAACGCGTTCCTTAGCTCCTACCTCCTTTCATCTTCGCGAACGCGACTTGATACAAGTGTTCGTTATGCATTCCCTCTTCTCAGCTAGGGGTGCGCATAAAATCTAAAAAAATGAAAACCGTACCGGACTGAATTAATTCGGTATTTCGGTATCGGTTCTTCAGTTTTTGGGTACTAATTCGGTATAATTTATTTGGTAGCTCGGTACTTCGGTACAGTTACCGATATTGAACTTTCAATACTTCGGTATACCGAAATACCAAATTATTTAAGTAAAAATTCCTTCACTACCCAGGCCCATACCTCTCAATTCCCAGCCCAAAATATTAACTTGTTAGTGGTCCCCTCGTCAGTAGCCCAGAAAATACCGTACCAAAATACCGAATGCTCAACCCTATTCTCAGCTACGCGATCATGGTCCTCCCTACGCGATCGTATTGCACAAAAACTCCACTGCTCAGCTAAGCCTACGCGATCGTGGACCTTCTCATGCGATCGCGTAGAAGGAAACCAGACCTGTGCACCAGAAAACCTTCAGCAAAACACCAAGTCCAAAATTGGTCCGTTAACCATCCGAAATTCACCCGAGGCCCCGGGGACCTCAGCCAAATACACCAACAAGTCCTAAAATATCATACAAACTGAGTAGAAATCTCAAATCACATCAAACAATGCTAAAAACATGAATCAAACCCCAATTCAAGCTTAATGAAACTAAGAAATTCCAACTTCTACATTTGATGCTGAAACCTATCAAATCAAGTTCGATTGATCTCAAATTTTGCACACAAGTCATAAATGACATAACGGACCTATTCCAATTTCCAGAATTAGATTTCGACCCCGATATTAAAATGCTAACTCCCCGGTCAAACTTCTAAACTTAAATTTTTATTTTAGCCATTTCAAGCCTGATTTAACTATGGACTTCCAAATAATTTTTCGGACACGCTGCTAAGTCCAAAATTACCATACGGAGCTATTAGAATCATTAAAACTCTATTATAGGATCGTTTACATATAAGTCAACATCCGTTAAACCTCTTCAACTTAAGCTTTCATCCTTGAGACTAAGTGTCTCAATTCATTCTGAAACCTCACCGAACCCGAACCGACTACCCCGACAAGTCATATAATAGCTATAAAGTATATAATGAGCCGTAAATTGGGGAATGGGGATACAACTCTCAAAACGACCGGCCAGGTCGTTACATGTTCCTTTACCCACGTTACAACCACGATAAAGTCCTAATTGATTTTAGATTGAGCGAGCTTACATTAGTATAGATTTACATAATGGGAAAGCCTGTGGTACCTTTTATGCGCATGTGAATTTCTTTGAGAGAGTGAGGGAGTTCTTCTATTGCTGAAAGTCCTTAAATTAATTCAAATTTTATTTGAGTGTGTGGACTAACTCTCTGTATTTTGTGGCGAAGGCACATGTTTCATGATGGATAGGTAACTTTATTAAGCTCTTCAGTCAAACTGAGTAAGTTGGCCTGAAAGTAGTTATGCTAGGGAGTCAGTTTCAGAGGTTGAGATGTCCCGAAGTTGCTATTTGGTTATTTTGAACTGTACACTATTGTGTTTAGAATTTTTTTTTACATGGGGAAGAAAGTACGAGAATGTCATATGCAAAGGGCTAATTGTTGGTATCAACCAAAGTCATGGGGTACTTGAGCTTAATTGAAATGTGTGACTTGATAGCGATAAACTTAATTTTGTTCGATATATTATAGGTTGATTCTACTTTGCTCAAGGACGAACAAAGGTTTAAGTGTGGGGTGGTGATGTTGGACATATTTCTATATGTTATAATGTTACTTCACTTTTCAGTTAAACTAAGTAAGTTGGCCTGAAAGTAGTTATGTTAGGGAGTCAGTTTCAGAGGTTGAGATGTTCCGAAGTTGCTATTTGATTATTTTGAACTATACACTATTGTGTTTAGAATTTTTTTTTACATGGGGAAGAAAGTACGAGAATGTCATATGCAAAGGGCTAATTGTTGGTATCAACCAAAGTCATGGGGTACTTGAGCTTAATTGAAATGTGTGACTTGATAGCGATAAACTTAATTTTGTTCGATATATTATAGGTTGATTCTACTTTGCTCAAGGACGAACAAAGGTTTAAGTGTGGGGTGGTGATGTTGGACATATTTCTATATGTTATAATGTTACTTCACTTTTCAGTTAAACTAAGTAAGTTGGCCTGAAAGTAGTTATGTTAGGGAGTCAGTTTCAGAGGTTGAGATGTTCCGAAGTTGCTATTTGATTATTTTGAACTATACACTATTGTGTTTAGAATTTTTTTTTACATGGGGAAGAAAGTACGAGAATGTCATATGCAAAGGGCTAATTGTTGGTATCAACCAAAGTCATGGGGTGCTTGAGCTTAATTGAAATGTGTGGCTTGATAGCGATAAGCTTAATTTTGTTCGATATATTGTAGGTTGATTCTACTTTGCTCAAGGACGAACAAAGGTTTAAGTGTGGGGTGGTGATGTTGGGCATATTTCTATATGTTATAATGTTACTTCACTCATGTTTTAACCGGTTTTTTATGCTATTTGATCTTTAAAATGCCCAACATGTGCTAATTATTGATTTTATAACTAATTGAGTTGTGTATGATGATTTAGAATGTTTGAAGAGCAAAAATATGAAAAAAAGGTGCTCCAGCTATAGGAGAAGAAGGTGGATGTGTCACATCCAACCTAGAAACAAAGTGCATTTAGTGCACCCTTGGCAATGAAGTCGGGCTAAGGCATCCGCTTTAGCATCCACACCTGGGCACATCAGAGATGAAAGAATAAAGGATGGATGCTTCGCATCCACCCCAACATGCAACGCTGAGAAGTTGAAGCTGAGTCGGATTAGGAAAAGGAAAACTTTGGCCCAAGACTTTTATACGCAATATATATGCTAAAAATACCTCTTTTAGGTCATCTAACACACAAGGAAGAGGAGAAAAGCCATCACAGAGTTTGGAAACCACGGAATAGGCGAGTAAGAACTCGACAAATTCTTACGAGTAACATTAACTCTGTCAATCAACAAACTAGATAAATCAATTAGTCAGTTTAAGCCAAGAACGTAACAAGATTGTTAGCTAGCCTATGATCCTGGAATATTCTCTCCTATTGATTGTTATCCGCGATTGTCTACGTATTTTAGTCGATCTCTAGTTTAATTAATTGTTTGATACTTTCTTTGGTTATTAATTAATTGCCTACTCATTTTAAGAAAAATCCCTCGAATAGATAATTTATTTGTGTTGAATCAGTCAAAAGTTAATCATAAGTCTATGTGGGAACGATACTCTATTCACTACTTTATTACTTAACGACCACATATACTTGCGTGTGTGTTTGGTCGCAACATACTGTAACGTAATTTATGGATGAATACATCATCTTAACGAGTCACACCCATTTGCATGCCCACTTCGAGCGGCAAGAATAAGATTTAGTGTAGCATTAATATGTCATCACATTTCCTTGTCGTAATATGCACTCTATGCTGGTTAAGCTTCATCAATTTTTATTTCTTCGAAATTTTCTTTACTAGTGATTTTGCAATGTTTATTAATTGAAGCTTGATGATCTTTGCATCAAATACTCTTTACTCGTGCTACAGACAACTGTTAAATCAGATCAAAGAGAATTTCTCATTAGCAGCCATATTAGTCCCAAGTTGGCGAAATTCTTCCAAATATGAACTTATGCGTCCTTGGAATTGCAACTGTATAAATATGTTTGTTGTACAAGGTTTATTACTTCTAAGTAGGATAATATAATCCGCATTTGTGTTTACATAATAGAACAGACAGGTTGATCATCGTATGAATCTCTAACTTGATAAACAGGGTATTGAGGCAGGGTATAATAGTAAGGAGTTTGCCACTGTGTCACGGCCGCAGCAGAAGCTTGGGGCTTTGTATCAGAACCAGCTTTGTCTTTATTTTCGCCACCACCAGTAGAAGCAGGGCCAACACTTACCAGTTGTGCCTGCCCCAAATTCTTTCTGAGCAAATTTGTCAGTGTCACCGCATCAATCTCATCTCCCACCACTTCTAACTGATTTTTCTCTTCCCCTTTCATAGCTGCTGATTCCACACCTAAGTAAAAGAACAACAATATTAATTAATCCTAATGAGTTTCACAAGATTTTGATTGAAAATCATTAAAATAAAAAACTGAAAGGAAACAAATCAATACCTGGCTGAGAAACAGCAATCTTGAATGCCTTGGACCTGTATTTCTGATCATTCCCATTTAAGGATAATTTGATAACCACCTTTTGCTGCCCAATTTAAGAGCACATGTTAGTAAACAAACCCGAACTATACTACTACAAAGATAAGAATCGCTGCTTTGTTATTAAAATGACAACAAATTATTAGATATGCATACCTTCATTTTCTGGGTTGTGATGTTTCCTTTGCAAAATNGGGGGGGGGGGTGTGATTTTCGAAGTGCTTGGAAATTGCAGTGAAGAACATGTACATTCTGATACTATTTATAGATGACCTTCGTCTAAGCGCCAAAGTATATATGATCCACATAAGCAGATTTTTGGGTCATATAGAAGTCAACAAGTCAGACCTAGTCTTCTTTTTCTTTTATTTAATAAGCTACGTTACATGATATCCTCAAGAATTGAATTTTGAATGCGTCGTTGCAAGTACATGTGGGAACAAATCCCATACCAACTAGAGAACGTCTTCTATATGGCAAACTCACACTCGAAGCTGTAAGCTAAATTATAGTACTGGCATCTTCCTACTTTCCTAAAATTATAATCTCGTCTCTCTTCGAATTAGCAAGAGACTTTTTTGTTTTAAATCTGATTTTACTTTTGTTTTTAAGCTTTAAAGAGTTGTTTGGTTGGGGAATAAGTTATTCCGAGATTATAATGATGAGATTATAGTGCGGAGATTATATAGTGAGGAAATTATTTAGTGGATATATTTTTATTGATAGATGTTTGTTTCATTAGACTAAAAATTGAATATATGGAATATAATATAAAACATGTATTTGGTGTTTACTAAATAAATTTGGGTAAACTTTTATTTTTAATTTTAACCTTGAGTTTTTTAAAGAACTTTGGAGAAAGAGCCTTAAAAAGTCATCTTTGTTATTGTAGTGTTTTATCCTCATATTAATAATCTTGGAATTATTACCGTACTTTTAATTAGGATAGAATAATACGACAATTGTGGTACAAATTAACCTGATATTGCTAATTCTGAATCCGAAATATCAACCAAATGCCGAATAAAATAATTCACCATCTAAGTATACACAATGTATTATTTTTTCATCAAGCTCTAATATTGCAATTTAGTTATACAAATCGAACCGAAAACCGTATCAAATCGAAAAGTCAAACCAAACATACTAAAAACCCCAATTAGGTTTGGTATTGAGTAAAAAAATCCGAATCAAACCGACATATAAATATATCATTTTTGTATATATTTTAAGAATTTTCATAGAATTTTCTTTAAAAAATGTCTAGAAATATTTGTGATTCTCTTATAGGATATAATATTTAGTTAAATATGAAGTGCTCTATTTTTATAACATTAAATAATGGGTTGTATAATCAATTTTTTATCAAGTGTTAGTGAAATGCATCAATCTCTTTCTTCTTCCATATTCATAAGTCAAGATCTATTAAATTCTTATATCTTTTTCGAATTTAAAGTGGCATTTTGATCATTTAAAATTACATAGAACGTATCATTATATAGGTATCATATTTATTTTTATGTTTAATTATTAAATTCAGTTAACCTTGAAAGTGTACATCAATAAAAAATTATTGTCAGACGACTAAAAAATAACACTTTTCAATTATGTTTTAAGGCCATTCATTAAATTACGTCCCCTTTAGTCTAATGAGTTGAATTTCGCTTTTTAAAGTAATTGAATGAACTTTTCTTTTTATACCCAAATTTTATTTACTAGGCAAGCGGGGCACAAAATCTAAATAATGATCTCAAAAAAGGACAATTCTGCAAATGCCTTGTTATTTCATAGGCGGGATGGCTCACATATTTAATGGTACTTCTGGTCCCATATAAAGATGTCTCGTTAACTCGTTTCTTTTACTAGGAGCAATATTTCAAAGATTTGTTCACACGATTGAAAACATGTTGATTTTTCTATGTTATAGACCAAGAAAGCCAACTACCTAGTCAATTAAAAATATTATGTGCAATCTTGAAATTATTGCCAATTCTTCGAAGGATGAGTCGCCCCGATAATTCAATCAAAGAAGGTGAATGATTGCTGTCAAAACTATTGACAGCTTTGTTCCTCTAACTAATTTGCAAAATGTGTTTAATACTTAAATGGAAAAATGATGGTACTAAATATTTTTATATGACTCTTTCTAGATGTAAAGTTGCCCTACATGTTGAAATCTTCCTCTCGAGTTAGTGTGTACTTTGACCCTCTCGTCTTTTCTTTTTCTTTATTCTTTTCTTTTTTTTCTTTTAATTTTCTCGAGTTGAAGTTGGCCAATGTTTAAATAAAGTAACAATGTTGAGCCACCCATCCCAAAATAAAACTATTTAAGCGTACCACTAAATAATGCTGTCAAATTAATTAGTGTCACAGCTCATATTGGCGAAATAACTATTTGGGGTAACATTATTGTGCGTTCTTTACAGTCCTCATATGGACTTGTACCCTTATTTAGACTGGAAAATTAAAAGTAAATTGACTCTATCAACCAACGAGTAGGCAATTAATATTCATAATCACACTCTTTTTATACGAACCAAAGAACTGGCATCAATATCAGTTGAATAATAGGATACGTCTTGAGTTATATATAGTTGACTTAAGACTTAAGAGACCTTGCTTCTAGTTCTGGGCCCCAAAGAGGCTACCCTATTGTTGACAAATCACACACTTCCGAGTCGGTCAATCTTTCTAAGTCTTTGTTTAATAAATTTTATATCGAACTGTTATTGTCTTCATTTATGTAGCTTCCTTATCAATTTTCTTTTGATATTTATGTGATAAAACTACAGACTAGTCGCTTGGATTTCTTAACATAAACAGAACTAATTAACAACCAAGTCAAAGCTTTTAAGATTGTGCTTACACGGAACATATCATCTACCAATTTTGAAACAGTTTAACAACCTCAATAACAAATTAAATTCTAGATTGCTGCAAAGCAAAATTAAATTGCTAATAAATGGAAATTTACTTTTTGTGTCCGATCCATTTGGCAATGATTATTTATATTGGGATTTTGTATAAAGTACATAGCACTTTTCCATCTAATATTTTTCCACCAGCTTGAATTTGAAGTGGCATTGGAATCTCTAGAATTAACTTTTTTTTCCTTCACATAATCACACACTTATTGTGGTTAAAGAATAATACTAATTCAATCAGGTAAATAATCCAAAACAAACAGCCATACTAATCTAATTCTTTGTGAAAGGAAAGTTCACTTTGTATTTCAATTTTGTTGTCTTATTTAGTTGGATGTAATTTATCTTTTCTTTTAAAAGTTACACGCTGTTCAAGTATATTATTGTCTCACGTGCACAAAGGCAAAAGAGCATGGGAATAATCAAGGGCAGATTTACATTCATGCAAGTGGCATTATTTTATCCGACACTAAATTATATGTAATTAATGATTAAAAAAAGAAATTACAATAAAAACATATTACGGTGACACTGTTGATGTCCAGGGGTCACATGATCTCCTTGGCCTCTTAATGGTCACCATCATTTCTTTGATAACACTAGGGGTCTCGATGGATATTCAAAAAATGATTAAATTGTATCGTATTGAATTGATTTTTAAATTTTTTAAAATAAATTTTATATGTAAAAAATATATTTATCTAGAAAGTATAAAAATAATAATGCATTAAATTTTTATTTGGGCCTTGAAATTATGAAAACTATTATAAGTCAATAAGTAATTAAACTCAAAATACTAATTCCTAAAACATATTATGCTACGTCTACTTAAAGTCTTAAACTAAGTTATTTCAAGTATCTTTATTAGTAAGACACAAAGTATTCTAGCGATAATGAGAAGTAAACTACAATGTATTGAATATGTTTCCTTTCATATAATTTAGATTTATCTTTTTGAATATTTAATCTTTTGTAGACTTTATTTTTGAGTCCCATCTTGGTTAATATCTTTCCACTAGTGTGATTTATATTTTCTTTATCTTTGCTTGATTTCTTTTACGTTGTTGTAGAATCGTTGATGGATCTATAAACAATAAAAATGTCTAGAGAGTTTTGCTAAGTCTTATAAAAGAATATATTTATTGCATTCTACTTCTACTGGTGAATTTTACCTGATATTTAAAAAAATACCGAAAATCAACCGAACCGTACCGATATCGAAGAGAAACTGACTTGATTGGGACGGTTTCGAAAAATCTAATTTTGGTTATACATAATAGAATAACGAAAAATTAGTATGATACAAATTTTATAAAATAACCGAACCATTGACACCCCTGCACTAACCCCAAGTCCCAACTATTCAGCAAAGTTTATTTAACGAAATTCAAAAAGGTATGTATTAAAAAACACCATATAAACATGGCTTAGTAAAGAGCTTTTTAGAAAAAGTTCTTAATGCTAATACGAGAAATTGTTCGCTTGTATTTTTCTTCTTCTTGTGATTTGCTTGTATCTTCGAAAATGATTATATTAATATATTTGATGTGTTTTATCATGATAATCAAATTATAGTAATTTTATTAGTTCACTTTTTAAAATGTCTACATCGCTTATACGAAATCTTCTGTGCGCCACTTGGTATAATGACAACATGTGATCTCATCATTTGGAAGCAAATTATAGATAGTTTCCCTAAAATTTTATTAAGTATTAAATCTTAGATTCTTCGGACCCATAATTCTAAAAGTGCAATGAATTCGTTAATGAGAATCTTAAGAGTTAGAAACCATCCAATTTAAATTTTAAATATGTATTATGTATTATTTTCAAAGAGATTTATAAATATTTTGGTCATTTCATATATTGCCCTAAAATTTTGAATTGTACGTTTAAATTCTTCTTCTCCATACATCACTTCACACTTTAAAACTTGGACAGTACCTAACTGAAATCAATAATCCAATCCGAAATTCTTATACTCCTATTTCACTATAATGGTCAAAACTGAAAGGGAGTATTTACAGAAGACCCAGAAAGGAAAAATTGAAGAAAGAAAACCACAAAATCTAGTAGATCCATTATTGAACTCAAGTAGAATAATCCAATTTGGCATTCTAATTCACATAATGGAACAGCCAGATTGACCATATGAATCTCCAACTTGGTAAATAGGGTATTGAGGAGGATAGGTATAATAGTATAAGACGGGTTGCGACTGAGCCACCGCAGCTGCAGCTGCAGCTGGAGGCTTTGTATCAGGAACTTTCTTGTCGCCGCCACCAGCTGGGCCGACGCTCACTAGCTCTGCTTGCCCTAAATTTTTCCTGAGCAAGCTCGTCAGATCCGCAGCGTCTATCTCTCCCACAACTTCTAATTGGTTCTTTTCTTCCCCCGTCATTGCTGCTGATTCCACACCTAATTAAGTAAAACAACAACAATATATATTAAATCGAATGAGTTTCGGGGAATTTTGATTGATATTAAGAAAATCGAGAGCTGAAAGGGCAGAGTTAAGTACCTGGCTGAGAAACAGCAATTTTTAAGGCCTTGGTCCGATATTTCTGATCGTTCCCGTTCAAAGATAATCTGATAACCACCTTTTGCTGCCCAAATTTATGAACATATATATGTCAGTAATTAATGAAATATACATTGCGAAGTATCTTTATAGAGTTGAATTACAGTGAAAGGGAAAACAAATTAAATATACATACCTTCATTTAGTGGGTTTGATGGAAATTAAACTTGCTTAGCAATATTACTCAGTAGAGGTAGAGAGTGAGAGATAAGGAGGAGGAGTTTGTTATTTGAAATGCTGGGAAATTGCAGTGAAGAAAGACTGAACATTCTTGAGTATTTATAGACCTCTACTCAACTCCTAAAGTAGCCACATAGTCCCTCAATTATTTGTAAACTCTACTTTTGGTCCTTGAATATTTAACTAAGCATAGTTTAACTTCAAATTAATTGAAATTGTGCTTTTGATTTCTATACTTGTATAATTTAGCGAATTATATAAAATTACATCATTTAACTACTCATAATTTTTGATAAATTAGTATTTATACTCCATATGTGAGGACATTATAGTTCTAGTATTAGTCTAAATGTAATATAATTCCTACATAAAGTAGGGGTGGGCATATATCGGGTATAACCGATAGTCCAAATCGATAAAATGCTATTGGGTTGTCGATAACGGTTTAATATTATTTGACTATTGATTTATCGGTTCGGGTCTCGATTTTGTCCGATTTTATTATCGATTTAACCGATAGCCCAATAAGCTTTAACAAAACTATAATTTTACCCACTAAGTATATAAAACCACATTATGGCTTCATTCTGTCATCCTCAATTCTTTCGGCAGTTACTGTTCATCTTCATACCTTAATCCTTAAAGTAAGTTTTAAACTTTTCTAAATTTCTCATCTTAATTCTTCAGTTAAGATTTTTAATTTTAAACTTTAAAGAATTAATTGTTCAAATTTTTAGTTTTTCTATTTGTTTCTTTTGTTGCACTGATTCTTTAGTATTTACAAGATTAGGATTTTATTATTTTTCTGTGAATTATGTCCGCTCGTAGTGAGATAGTTAGTAAGATTAGATTGTTGAATGTCTTATTCCTTACTCCTATTAGCGTATAACTTTAAAAATTGAGATCGGATTTTCAAATGAAAGGAAAGTTTTTTTTCTAAAGTTGAAATTTAATCTCTTTTTTCTTAAGAGCAAAAATTCAGTTCCTTTCTCTTAACAGTATGATCACGATTTCTATAATAAAAATACGAAATCTATGGATATTTTCTGTTCTTATCGGGTAAACCGATAACCGAACCGATAAGGATCAATAACCGACTAACTGATACCCGATAACCGATATCTTATCGGTTCGACTATCGTTTAGCATATTTATAAACCGATAATCGATATGCTGAACCAGTAACATTTACAATCGAATCGAACCGACCAATGCCCACTCCTAACATACAAAGACCACATAGACACATTCTAATAAATTGAAGGTAATATGTGCTTAGTCATATATCACAAAGAATAAAAATTGAATTTATCAATAATCAAGGGATCGATAAATTAGATCGGAAGAACGCGCATTGAATTGGAATAACTCAGTCATCCGCCGCCCCTTGTATGTCATAAAGATGACTTAATCTTCGATTGTCTGATCCATATGCGTTGCTTCATTTAAATTTTTTTTGGGGGGGGGAGGGGAGGGGGGTGCTGAAAAGTTAATAAGTCAATATGTCATTTTGCCATAGGAAATAACAAGTGATCTTCCACGTAGTCCCCTAGAATTGAAAGAGTCATTGATTACTGCGTGGAGACGCAAAACCAGAATAAACGCCTTCGATCTAGGGGTCCCAACGAAGTACTACGTACGTTAAATTACACTAGCATCTTCCTAATTTCTTTTATAGTAATACTATTTGGATCAATTCATAGGCATATTAATTGTTTTATTCAGTACCTGGTATCTTTTATTGCAATTAATCTCTCTATAATTAATAAATTATGATGTATTGGGTAAAATTTATAGGTGACGGGTGGATGCTTCTCGAATAAACACTTGGCAGTGTAGATAGGTAGGACCGTAGGAGATAAGTCAACAAATAGTCGACATCGGTTATAGGCATGTGACCGATATTGTATAAGTCTCAAAAACATCAAGACTGAGAAGAGAATTTGAAAGTAAGGTACCGTTTAAAGAAGACAACATTAAAGGAGCAGTCATTACATAAAATCATAACATTTATTTTCAACCGTTATGCAACTATCAAGAGGAATTTTCACCTTAAAAAGCAGCGTGAATTGAGGATCTTGTATTCCTTAATTAGCTATAAATAATAAAATTTGTACGAGCTGAAGGACATGAAATACTTGTACAAAAAAAGGCTGATACTATTCTCTCATTCTATAAAATTTTATTAACTAATATTAAGATATTTGCATTGTTTCTGTCTCCGGAGAGATAAATTCGAAGCCCAAACTTGTCTTTTCTTCAACTATCCTCATTTTACTCGGTTTGCTCTTTGTTATTTTATTTTAACAGATCAATTTAATCCACGTGTCTATAAATAACGTTACAAATTCAACCGTATAATTTTAAGAGTAAACACATGTGTCATTTTTTAAAACAGAATTAAGTATTCTGTCACGATCGAGCTCTGAGAATAATATTGGAAATAATAAGGGGTCATTTGGTAGGAGGTATTAAAAAAAAATAATGCAAGCATTAGCCGTGCGTATTACCAATCCCTTGTTTGGTACTTTTTCTCAACTACATAACTAATACTTATACATCCTAATTGGTATTATTCTATGTATAATTAATACATAGCAAACCATGGTATTAGCGCTACAAGGGTTTTTAATACTTGCACTAGCATGGTTAAAGACATAATTGCCCCTCAAATCCCTCAAATTAAGTGTACAAAGTTAAAGAATGTGGAAGATATTTTTAAAAATAACTAATTATTTTAGAAATTATGCAATATTTTAATATACCAAACTAAATAGTGGATAAAATACTACTAGAAATCCGGTAAAAACCGACCAACTTTGGTCGGTAATGGCCAATAACCGTCCAAAACGTGACCATTTACGTATGGGCGGTATTTTAGGGGTCGGAAAGACATACCGACAAAAGTTGGTCGGGAATTATCGACCAACTTTGGTCGGTCAATTAAATTCAAAAAAAAAAAATTGCAAAAAGAACCGACCAAAGTTGGTCAGTTTTTTCCGACCAAAGTTGGTCGGTATTTTAATTATGTAATCTAAAGATTCACCATCTGGGTATCGAACCGGGGTCTGTACTGTGGCAGGATACTATTCTACTACTAGACCATTAATGCATTTTATTTTAAGACTGTCTTTTATTTGATTTATACTCTATAATTGTATTTTCGCACGAAAATAACCGACCAAAGTTGGTCGGTTTTATTAAAAAATAAAATTATCGACCAAAGTTGGTCGGTATTTTAATCATGTAATCTAAACATTCACCATCTGGGTATCGAACCGGGGCCTGTACTGTGGCAGGATACTATTCCACTACTAGACCATTAATGCATTTTATTTTAAGACTGTCTTTTATTTGATTTATACTCTATAATTGTATTTTCGCACGAAAATAACCGACCAAAGTTGGTCGGTTTTATTAAAAAATAAAATTATCGACCAAAGTTGGTCGGTTTTTTAAAATGACCGACCGAATTGGTCGGTTTTTTTAATATTAATTTTTATTTATTTTAATTAAAAAATCGACCAAAATTGATCGGTTTCCTGAAAAATAAATTTTGCGGAACTCAAAGAAAACCAAAGAAAACCGACCAAAGTTGGTCGATTTCGTAAAAAAATTAAAAAATAAAATATTTTGAAAAACCGACCAACTTTGGTCGGTTTTTTGACCGACCATAATTGATCGATCGACCTTGGTCGGATTTTACCAAATTTCTAATAGTAAAATAACTAATCCCAACATTACTAATACACCCTATTCAACACTATTCTTGTAATCCTACCAAACGACCAGCAATTAAGCAATAAGGAGGGGCTTGTTACTTGCTTTTCATAAAAAAAGGGTCTCACTTTAAAGAGTTTCTCCGAACTTTGAGTGGACATCCAAAAATCTCAGAGCTTGTGCTAATTTGGACAAAAATAAAATATATATATGAAGAAAAGGAGAAGCGTAAAACTATCTTTTATAAAAGAATCAGAAAAGCCAAGTAACTTTTTGGAATTATTTCAGAGACGTGTTCAGACAAAAAGTTATTGTTTCTTTGCTTAGTCATAAACCAAATGAGTCAACTAGACGACTGGAGTACTAAATACTAATTAAGTTTTTTAAAAACTTGAAATTATTAAGACTTTTTAAGAGGATATTAACATCATTAATGACCGAAGCACGGTCAGAGGATGATGTTGAAGATGATAACATCCTGCAGGAGTACTAATTAAGTTTAAATTAAGATTTCTTAAAAGGATATTAGCATCATTAATGACCAAAACATGGTCAAAGGATGATGTTGGCGACGATAAAGCAAGAGATCGTGGCAAATTTCATGTCCAAAGAATGATGCAACCAGAAACAAAGGGTTCCTCATTATTAATCCTAAGGGTTCTTCATTATTAATCCTAAGTATGAGTTTTTAACTATAGAATATTTGGTTGTTAGTCATTGGGAATGGGATATATATTCTGGACTTTGATTCAATAATAAAATAGAAATATAAGTTGTTTTAAGTAGGAGATAATTTTTGAGAGAAATTACCTCCCCCCCCCCAAAAAAAAAGAAAAAAGAAAATGTTCAAGAGGAAATTAAAGGAAGAATGCACAAAGAAGTCATTCATTTGTTCGTATGTCTCCCACATATTTGTTATTCATTTGCTTGTTCCTGTATGCACCTAAATCATGGTGTAGAAGGGTAAGTTCAGTAAAAATAAATTAAATAAATACAAAGATGAAATATGAGTTATTGATTAAGGGTTTTATAGCCTGGCCAAGTTATTTTTAGCAAATTATACTACTAGGCGGTCTGCCCAGTAGCTAAGTTATTAATAATAAAAGAAAAACGAAAAAGAAAGAGTACAAGTAAGGGAGGCAAAAGCTACAGTAGTGTTGCCTCTATGCCTTGGCTATATAATCATCCCTATGTGCCTCCATCGCCTTATGATGGCAGCCTCATGCTGAGGATGTGGCTGCCGGCAAAGTCTCACGAGCACAAATGATCTCATAGCCGTTAGGATATTTCCCAAAGGCATAAGACAAATAGCAAATACATACTGAGCTAGACCTTATCTTACAATTC